TGAATGAACCTTTATCTGTCGGATCATTAATCGATTAGTCAAAAAATAATCGACAGATTAATTGATTTGCAAAATAAACTTTAGTTGCAGCCCTATTAAAAAAAAAACATCTGTCCCAGAAGATATGCTATTCATTACAGGATATATTTGTATTTGATGAAAACCAAGCAGCTTTGATGAATGTTTTGCATTACATGAGATCTAAGACTAGTGCTTAACAGAAGCAGTGCTGCGGGATCCTAGTCCACTACCATCTGCTTGATTTCACTGATCCGATTTAAAAAGGTTTACTCAAGGTTGCATTGGGAGAACCAAAGGGCTCCTGCTTATGCCTGCTTTGTTCTTCCCTGATCTCAGGATTCCTTAAACCCTCTGGCCGATCTGTGCTCAACATACTGTAAAAACACGTCTTCTAAGAACCTTCAAAACCTTTTAGCAATGTATTTATGATGGCATTTGACTGTTTTTTACTTTTATTTTGTATCTTTACTGCCTGGCAAGAAAAGATTTGGGCCTCATAGTGGATTTCATCAAGAAATTTAGGAAGTCAATTAATTCTTTCTGTAGATGGATTGAAAAATATTTTAACTGTTTTCTAAATGCAAGCATGTTTTTATTAATTTATTTCCTGGGTCCGCCTGGTAACAAATGCTTAATTGTGTTTTTCCTCTGCTTTAAGGTCAGTGACTGATCCCAGAGATGGAAAGCGGGTGGCCCTGAAAAAGATGCCTAATGTCTTCCAGAATCTTGTTTCTTGCAAGAGGGTTTTTCGGGAGCTGAAGATGTTGTGTTTCTTCAAGCATGAAAATGTAAGTGCAAACTTGTCTTGGATTTACAGTGTGACATTTTCAGATTCTTCCAAACAACCATATAACTTGGGACAAAGATTATCCACAGGATGTAGACCACTGCATTACAAAACTCCCTACTGTTTCCTCAGGTACTCTCTGCTCTGGACATTCTACAGCCTCCACACATCGACTACTTTGAAGAAATGTATCCTTTGCCCTGTTGATTCACCTGAAAGATGGATTCAGTTCAATACATTTCAGGATCCATCCATTCATCCATATATTCAGTAGGGGTGTAAATAATAATCGTTTTGTATCGAATCATCGATCCAACAGCCGACGTCTGATGCATCGATACGTCCGCAAGAGAATCGATTCATGTTTTTTTTTTCCTCCGGTATATTTTTATCCATTTGCTCCTGGACGTAATTCTCCCTCCCGTGCTGCG